TTACGTCATCAGCGAAGAGGATGGAGATGCTTTTGAGATGATCACAAAGGTCCATTTATGTAAAGCATAAAGAGCGTAAGTCCTAAAACACTGCCTTTGGGGACACCGCTGTTAACTGGTGCAGGGTTTGATAGGGCTCCCCCTATTTTGACTATTTGTTGCCTGTTTGATAGGAACGCAGCTATCCCCTTATGTAGGGATCCGGAAATGCCATACGATTTTAGTTTTAACAGTAGTTTGTTGTGTACCACTATAAATAAAACAAAATAGATAAAACAAAATTGTTCATATTTGTTTTTTAATGTGATCAAATTTTAAAACACATGCATGGAGGAAGAATGAACAGGTTGAGAGGAAGAGGAAAACAGGAAGTCATGGTCAAGAGGTGATGAGGTCTTAAAAAATAGAAAGGTCAAGCAAGATTGCTAGTGGTGCAGTACTGGAAGAAGGAAGAATTGCCTACTATTCAAGAATGGACTTTAAAAGTAACAAACTTAGCAGAGATGGCTAAAATATCAGCATACTTGAAGGACCATTCAGATGAGAAATATAATGGAGAAGATTGACTGATTACATTCAAAATAAATATGGGTCTAAGAAATTTCAATTAGCTTATGAATGAATGAACAAGGAGTGTTACAATTTATCTAAAGTTAGCTTTACAAAAGAGGAGTTAAAGTATAAGTGATGGTATGATGCTAAAGTTAGTTTATTTTAGTGTATGATTGTTAAATGTTTATACCCTGTATTTTACTCTGGGAGGTTGGGGGGGGGAGGGGATATGGGATTGGGGTGGAGGGAGGGAAGGGGAAGGGTATACAATTGTAAAATTTATTAAAACTTTTTAATAAAAAAAATAGAAAGGTGAGAAGTTTAAAAAACAAAGAACAATGTGCAAAATCTTGTATGGAGGTGGGGAAAATCACGGAGAGTTTGCAAGGATAGAAAAGACGGGAGAAGTACAAATTATGAAATGTATTGGTGTAAAGTAGTTTAAACTATATTTCCCATTCTTTTTCTTATACCATGCTTTTAATTTCGTTGGCTGGCTATTTCTCCTACTGCTTCTCCAAGCTCTGCATAATATTGCTTACTGAAAAGGAATAGCATGACGGATGTGTCGGTGTGTACGTGTGCAGTTGCACCATCCATATACGGTACAGTTGCATCAAGCTGTACACGGTCCCTTTATGTTTTGTCTTCCGAACCACTGGTCTGTTTGGTTTTTTTGTGAACATGATGAATTCCCTGTCTGAATCATCTGTCACATGAGGGGGAAAGGAACAGAAATTCCCACAAATAAGCATAAAACAGGAATTTATGCAGGTCGATAAATTATTCAGAGCTTAAGGATAATAAATAACATGTATTAGCGAGTGACCCTGTGATTTTATATATATATATTTAAAAAAGACTGACTCACATGAGCATTGAAAAAGAATGTGAGTCTAATTTATGACCGTTTTCCTTCCAGAGCGCCTAATGAAGTGGCTGATGTATCAAATTGCATGATTTATTGCAGGAAATTGTAAGAATTTCAGAATCTATTTCCTATTAGACAGTTTCTTAGTGCTTTTGATGGATTACTGCTTTGCGTATTTAGTCTGGTAAATTTCAAATTAAACAGGCATCTTTATGAAACTAGGTTAGAGGGTCACTGTCCAATGTTTACCCTCCACTCCCACCCCCAACCTTAACAAGAGTTTGCTTCTTTATAAAAATAACTCATGGTTTTTGCAAAAAAGTGAAAATGAGGGACCACAAATCATAGCTATATATCCATGATGGTGAACCTATGGCACACATGCCAGAGGTGGCACGCAGAGCCCACTCTGTGGGCACGCGTGCCATTGCCAACTGCTCTTCTGGTTTCCAGCGCATGCACGCATGCCGCCAGCTGACATTCATGTGTGCCAGAGCCCCGGAAACCCAAAGACCAGCTGGTCTTCAGGTTTCTGGGGCTCTGGCGTGTATGTGTGCACACACGCACAAGCTTTCTGGTTTGGGCACTCAGTGCCCAAAAGGTTCGCCATCACTGCTACATGCCATCATTGTATCAGTTAAATACAGCAATGTATACTGTACAATTTTGATTGAGTAAACCAAGGACAATCATAGCAAAACTACAAGAATTGCAAGTACTGGATTTCTGGCTATTCAACCGTACTGTTCATTAATGACTTTCCTCATNCTTATTTTTGGGGAGGTCTTATTATTTTTGAGGTGCATGAGGTGGTGAGCGTGATCACCTCATGGCTGCTGCTGTGTTATGCTCCTGCAGCAGTGAGGTGCGTCATTGAATTTGCCACTCTTTTTGCGGCGGCCATTAGCATGACAGAAGGGGCAAAATGGCTAGGGTTGTGGGAGCGGCTGTTAGATAATGGTGTGTGGGGTGCGTGAGGCATGTTCCCCCCTTTCTCCCCCTCTGGCCTCGCCTCTTCACCTCATGTTGTTTGCATGGGAAGCAACCAGAGGAAATGGTAGGGATCAGCTGCCCATGCACTTAAATATTTTAAGGGAGGGCTTATTTTCAGGGGAAGGGTTATTTTCAGGGAAACCGGTAGAATTTCCATGAAACTTATTGAACAATCCCATTTCTCTTTCCATTGAAGGAAATGAATATCTTCAAGACTCTAAAGATAATGTCATCCTTCACAATGTTGAATCAGGGCAGTCGACCATTATCTTGACAAATAGCACCATTGTATGTATGGCCTCTATTTCAAAATTATGAGTTAATTTATGTAAGTGATGGTTATGTGTTGGCTACTAATTGATGCTTTAATTCTTTCAGAAAGAACTGAATGTCACAAATTATGCAATGTCTGCAGATCAGAAATTTATAGTATTGGAAAGCAACTATTCTAAGGTAATATTTTTAAAAGTTTGGATTGGTAAACTTTCAGGGCGTTAACGAAAATTCTTCGAAGGAATTCCTTGGGAAAGGAAGTTGAAGCAAGGCCTTAGTTTATTTCTTCATTATCCTTCCAATCTTAGCCTCCATAGTAAAACAATCATTACTGCAAAGTACAGTAGGCAGTAAACAATCATTATTGCAAAATAACAATCATATTTTGCTTTGGACAAACAATCAGCTCTTCATCCCTACCAGACTAGCTCTTGTGCACTGACTTCTAATCGTGAGGAGATTTCCTATGGCCTGAGGGCCCCATGTAGATAACCTCTTGAGAAATGGGCTGAAGGGGGAGGAAAGTTAGATGCTTGGTTCAGACACTAGTTTGGTAAGAAAATGAATTACGTATCTTTGGAGTATAAGATGCACCTTTTTCCCTCAAAAAAGAGGATGAAAATCTGGGTGCATTTTATACACTGAATACAACATTTTTGGCCTCCAAAACCCCACCCCACTTTGCAAAAACAGCCATGTATAGCTTTTAGGAGGCTTCCAGAGTGCTCCAGGGGAGAGCAGAAATGACCACAAAATGGGCTGTTTTTTGCTCGCTCTTGCCTCCCCAGCCCCCAGGAGCACTCTATAAGCCTTCTAAAGGCTATGCATGCCCCCCCTTTTTTTTTGACAAAAATGGGCCGTTTTTTGGGAAGTCTGCAGAATGCAAAAACTTTTTTTTTAATTTGCCTCTTCAAAATCTTGGTGCATCTTATATTCTGAAAAATATGGTAATTTTTCTAGAAACCCGGTCTTATTCTTTGGTCCCCTTGCACCCACAGAGCAGCCGCTGTAGAAATTAAATACAATTTAATTGTGAAGGTGCAGAAGGTGCATTAGCTTTGTGCAAAAATTTACTCTGGATAGTGAGATGAACAGCATAAAAATTTAATTAATAATTTTTTTAAAAAAA